GATAAAAAGAGATTTAAATAAATAAAGGAAGCTAGATCCTAGGCGTGTTTTGGTCTGCTTTAAGAGAAGCTTGATAGAAAAAAAGATTAAAAAAAATAAATGTACTTTAAAAAAATAAAATAGAGCAAACAAAATTTAAAAATTGCCCTTTCTATATTTAAAAACAAAACAAACAAATAAAAAAAAAAAACAGAAAGCTAGATCCTCTTTACCCTAGAGCTGAGTCTTTGCAGCACTCTATGACTGACTTGGTGTTTGTGAGGGGTTTGTGCTGTTCTTCTGAAGGAGGGGCCTGCTGCTCTGATTTTCAGGTGGACTTGCCCTGGTGGAGACCAGTGGGGCAGGGCTTCATGTAAGTACCTCCAGTCTCCACTTGGTGGTGTTGTTTTTCTCTTACGGAGGCTGGTTGCTGCTGGTGGGCTAGGGGTGAAAATAGCTTTCCCTGCTCTGCTTTCTGGAACAGGGAGCTCATGCCCACCACTCTTCAGGAAACTCTCACAGAGGAGAAAACAATAGCTCTTCCTGTGTCCCTAGCTTCTGTCAAAACACCAACCTTCACCCTGTCTTTGTCCAAGCTATCTACCTGCCAGGCCACATGGTACTCCTGTATTTTATCTCAGGTATGGCTGGGTTTCAAAGCCCAACACTTCAGAGCACCACACACCCCCCTCGCCCCCCACAAAGCCAGACCTCTCTGATCCTCTGCGGGAGGGTCTGGTTGCACTGTAGCTGGTGCTGGCTTGTCCCGGAAAACAGTCACATGATGGTGTAGTGGTTCAGAGTTTATGGTAAATTGCAACCTGCAAAAGGCACCAGGGTTTGCTGCCCTCACCTGGTGTCTTTGTTCCTATGTTGGTGAATGGGGCAGCCCAATGGCACCCATGGGGCATTTTGCCTGCAGGGAAGCCATATCACCTCTACCAAATGCAATCCAAGCAGGGGAACTGTTTCACCCCATGCCACCCAGGGGATCCTCAGACTGTGCTGCCTGCTCCCAGAGTTCGCCCTCCTTCCCCACAAGAGCTCCACCAGGCAGAACCCTGACAATGGTGCTGACCTCTGAATCTTTAGACTCTGCACTCTGCTGTTTATTAAAAAAAAAAAAAGCTGGCAGTATTTAAACCTTTTGCTTTTCCAGTCAATGATTTTGGGGAACAGCTTCCTTATGCAGTCCCTTGCACATTTTTTTACTCTTTTTTTTTTCCATCCCCCCCCCACCAATTCATTCTCACTCCTCTCTCTGTGATCATGGCTCCCTCCACTCCGCAACACCCATGGCTCTTTCCAAATCAATTCTCCTCAGCTCCTACCTCCAATGATCATCATTTTCACTTGTAGACATGCAGCTTTGTTCTCTAAGACCACTGATCAATTTTGGGAGGTGATCAGAATGACCAGAGAAGCAAACTTGAGGCTGCCCTATTTCTCTGCCATCTTAACCCTCTCCCTAGATTCCATTTCAAGTCAATTTTTGTATGTGGTACAAAGTCTGGGTTGAGTTCTTTTTTTTAAGTTTTTGCATATAAATGTCTAATTATTCCACCATCACTCTTTGAAAGCACATTTCTTCTATTGAAATATAGGGTACTTTTGTCAAAAATCAATTGACCAATAATAAAGATCAGAGCAGAAATCAATGAAATAGAAACCAAAAGAACAGTAGAAAAAAATTAATAAGATGGATAAAAGCCTGGCCAGACTTATCAAAAAAGAAAAGAGAAATGACCCAAATAAATAAAATCATGAACAAAAGAGGAGAGATTACAACCAAGACCAAAGAAATACAAACAATTATAAGAACATATTA